ATATTAACTACCTCTTGGTTCTGGAAAACCTTTTCATTAGAGTTCTTATAAAGATTAATAATCTTCGTTTTATCTTATATTTCTATAAGAACTGACTATCTCTTACTCTCAAAATTTGTCAAATTTCTCATCGAGCACTCCATTTCCCCTTTTAACTGACTTCGTTTCCTAAAATCAGAGTGCGTATCAATAGCACCGGTACTTCCAGTCTAACCCGGAATAGTCGATACAAGGTTATTTTACATGTTTATATGATTTTCTAAGAATAATATTGGCTATTGAACCTGCTGTAACAGAATACTGTTTTGCCAATTTTGCATAACTAATATTTTCATTGTTATATCTATATCTAATTTCTCTTATTTGGTCATTTGTTAATTTTGCGTTGGTATATCTAATTTCTTCTTTTTCAACCATATTTCCAACGTTTTTATAAGTTTGTCCAAGTACTATTCTTTTAAAAGTACCTTCGTTTAAATAAATTTCTTTATAATCTAAATATATGTTATGAATACTTTCACCATCTTTATATCTTTGACGAATTTTTATAACTTCTTCATTTGTTAATTTTGCTCTCGGATGTTTTTGTCCCTTTAAAGATTGATTTTTTTTCTCTTGTTTCCATTCTTTTCATTTCGGTTTCTTCGGAATGAATGTTTGGAGTCCAAAATTGTCCACCTTCTGTAGCATTATATCCATTATAAAAAGAATTATAATATTTTATCCAAAAAATTTCTTTTTCGTCTAATTGCTCTTCATCACATAATTCTATTACATTAATTATAAAATTATCTTCTCCATATTTTCTTATTGCTTGATAAATTTTATAGTTATAAGATGGACTGTTTTCATTGTAACAATCATATCTATGATGATTAAAATATCTGTTATAAATATTTTTTGATTGTCCAATATAAATTTTATGATTTATTAAGTTTTCAATTTTATAAATTCCACTACGATGTGGTAAATTTTCTGAATTTTTCATATATTTTCCTCCTTTGTTTATAATAATATGAAAAATTCATGTATATATTTAGATACTTTTGACCATATTGAGAATCTTGTAAAATAAATTCCTCACGGGATTAGCTTCGCCTAAACATATTTTGACATATATGTGTAACGTTAAGCCTTCCCCGTTAGCCACCTAAGTGACCCCAATGATAATTGGTTAGAAGTGTAGAGGCAAGTATAATTCGATTAAAACAATCTAAGTCTACCTCTGATAGGAAATACAGCTTGAAACTCTCCATCTCTTGCTCCAATAAGACCGCCACAAGCAGAGTCTCCCTCACCAATTAATAATTCACATTTACTGCGGTCTTTACCCCAACAGTCAACTAATTTAGTGGGAAGATTAAGAGTTGATGCTTTTTTCTTTGTATCCACTTTTCGGGCCGCATCCTTAGCCTTCTTAGCAGCCTCTCTGGCTCGTCTAGCAATTAACGCTCTATCAACAATCAACTTTAAATCTTTTTCATTATTTTCTAACCAAAAGGTAAAATCTGTTGAAATAACGGTATTAATTAAAGTTTTATCAATATCAACTACTCGCGTTTTTGATTGAGCATCATACTGAACTCCATTAGCCTTCAAATTAAAAATAATAACAAGACCTTCGCTTAATTCTGCTCCAGATAAATTTTCATCTTTATCTTTTAATAAGCCTTTATCTTTGGCAACTTTATTGATTACTCTTGTAATACCAGACTTTAAAGTTGTAATATGAGTTCCGCCATCAGTAAGTCCAAAATTAACATAAGCTGTTAAATCTTCACTATAATTATCTGTATAAGTCAAACAGAAATCAATAAGATTATCTCCTTCTGTTCTTTTACTATAAAATCTATTTGATAAAATTTCTTTATCTTTTACTTTCTTTTTAACCAAATCCAAAAGTCCATTTTCGGAATGATAAATTGTTTCTTTATCATCAATAATAAAATGAATATATAGGTCTGGACATAAGGCTGCAATATCTTCAAATAAATTTTTTAATTCTGAAACATTTATTTCTTTATGCTGGAAAAATTGTGGGTCTGGGCACCATCTAACGTGAGTACCATGCTCTCCCTTGTTATTTTTTCCAACTTCTCTACTTTTAAAAATACCATCTTCAAATTTAATACACTCAAATTTTCCTGAGCCATCTGAAGATTCAACAATAAGCCAACTACTTAAAAAATTTGTTAACTTTGAACCAATTCCATTTAAGCCTAATGAACTTCCACCATAAACACCATCTTCACTATACTTTCCAGAAGTGTTCATAACATCAAAGGCTGCTTGAAGAACTGTTTCACCATCTTCTCTCTTACTATTAATTGGAAAACCCTGGCCTTCATCTCGGACTTCATAAACGTTGTTTTTAGTATCCATTTTGACAGTAATCTTTGAGCCGTGCCCGATTAAGTGTTCATCAAGGCAATTACTAAAAATTTCTCTTACTAGCTGCGTACTATATTCAGTACTTCCGCAATATACGCCCGCCCCTCAAACGTGTAAAACTCACGAGGAGAAATAGACTGAATACTGTCATCTGTATAAATTCTATTATCTTTAGCCATACTTAATCCTTTCATATTTATTCTTTACATATATTATATCAAATTTTTTATTTTTTCTCAAATTTTCCTTTTATTAATGGGCAATTTCTTATAATAATATTATACCAAAAATTTTTTATAATTCCAAATTTGAATTTTATCTAATTTTTTGGTAAAATAAATTAAAGGGATTTCCGAAGAAATCCCTTTAAAAATTAAACTTTCTTAATATAAGTTAAAGAAACATATTGATTATCAGCGATTTTTCCCCCAACCATTTGTTTCTTCAAGAATTGTAACTTTAGTATTATATGCTAATACTTTTACAATTGAACCATTAGGCTTATTGCGGACGTTGAGACCGCTCTTTGCTGTAACTGTTCCAGTGTAACCGATAGGTGCAGCTGGCTTGGCCGCAAGTACCTCTACCATCTTAGCCTGAGATTTAGGACCAAACTTACCATCAACCTCTAAACTATACTTCTTTTGGAAATTTTTCACAGCAGTTTCTGTAGCAGGACCGAAAGAGCCATCTACTGTAAGACCAGCGTTCATAACTTTATTTAAATTAGCTTGAAGTTCTTTAACGGCATCGCCCTTAGAACCCTTTGCTAAAGTACTACTTGTTGCTACTGGAGTTTGAACAGGAGCTGGTGCAGGTTGTGGAGCAGGAGTTGATGCAACGGCCTTAGAACCATTCTCGATAGCCATTGCCGCATGATGTCCTTCGTTTAAAAGAATATCGCCCTCAAGCAAATAATCTCCAGAAGTAAGATATTTTGAATCTGTGAGACATTCAAATTCGCCTGTTGCCATACAAAGTTGCTTTAAATCGCCAGTATAAGCAAGTTTATTACCTCTATTGGAATTTCTTAAAAATCTCTCCTCAATTCCGCAACAAATAATAATTGTTGCAACAAGAGCGCTACAGTCTGTTTCTGCTGGAACAGAAATTTTTGCAAAGTCCCAATTTGCGGCCTTGAGCTTAGCCAACAAATCCTCTCTATTCCACTGGTCATAGCCAATATTATTATTGTTACAAGCATTTGTCATACAAATTGCCATGCTATGAGCAACATCACGATTCTTTCTACGAAGAATGCAATCCCAACCTTTGCTATGTTTATACCAATCTCTAATTAAAACTTCACGACCAGTTTGGTCGCCAGCTTTACCACCATAAATTTTTCCATTTTCGTCAATGGAAGCCATACCAATTTTCATATTAATTCCTCCTTTTATATTACATAAGTTCAGCTCTACGAGCAATACGAGAACGATGACAATTTTTTAAGGTAACTGTACCAAAATAAGATTCTCCTTTAAAAACTTCACACATTCTTCTTAAACCATTATTATTTCCTTCGTAATCAGTTAAATCAACTTGAGCCTTATCATCACCACAAAGAACACAAATAGAATCTTCACCAATTCTTTGAAGCATAAGTTTCATCATTTCAATGGTTGTATTTTGAATTTCATCAGCAAAAACTCCACAATTCATTCCTGTCGTGTCAAATCCACGAATATCTGAAAGTGGTAACAATACTAATTTTTCTTCTGCGATTAATTTCTCAACTTCACACATATCACCGATTTTACTAGCTAAAAGATTACCAATCTGTGAATCCAGTAATTTTTCATCACGTGAGCCGGGGTAGAATCCCATTCGAGCCGCACCTTTTGTAGCAACAGTATTACAAAAAACGATAATTTTATCAATTTTTCCACTATCTAATTGAGAAAAAAGATAACCAAGACCAAGATAACTTTTACCACTACCAGGCAGGCCTCTAAGAACTGTAATTTGATTATTTGACAAACTATCCATTGCTAATTTTTGATATATATCTTTATGAATAGCTTTAACCTCTCCAAAATAATCAGAGAAAAATGAATGCGTTTTTAATTTTCTATATTCTATACCATTCCAACAGTACAGGTCAACAGCTGCACCAGTTGAATCTCTTACAATTAGATATTCATTATTTAGCAAGCCAAATCTATTTTCTGATAAATCTGAATAAAAATCACACATTTCTTCATCAGTCATTTGAATTTCTTTATAGCCAGTATATTCTTCTTCATCTGTGTCTCCAATAGAAGAAACATTTTTAAAGAACATTTTTGCGATTGTTTTACAAGATAAGTCATCTGTAATGAACTCGGTTTGCGGTCCGAGGGCCAAGCCGCAAGCTATAATTTTCGTATCATTTGTAATACTTAAACCTGCTTTTACTATTGGTTTTAACATTTTTTCTTTAAAAACAATAACATCATAATCAATAGTACCTCGGTCAAGTACACGGAGAACCTGTCTCGCCGCATACTTTACATCACCATCTTTATTCGCTGAAGTTTTAATATTCTCTAGTTCATCTAAAGTTATAGAAGAAATAGCAAATTTTTCTTCAGGAATATATTTTAAAATCGCATTAGTGTCTAAAAATTTCATTCATCGTCCTCCCATTCTTCTTCGTCTTCACGAGAAGTATAACATTCTGTGTCAAATCCAATTGCATAAGTAGATTCTTTATGTTCTGCTTCTTCTGCTTCTATTTGTAATTTGACCATTTTAACTGACAAGATTCCTTTTAAATATTCGAACCAGGTCACAATTAATGAAACAATAGATTCTAATACTGGCATTACCAAACCATAGAATGTAATGCCAAGGATAAAATATAACAATATTGTCATAAATTTTCCTCCTTTTATTCTTACTTCTTAGTTTATATCAAAAAAAATAAGGGTAGATTATAAAAACCTACCCTTATGGTATTTATATATTTTATAAAGTAAATCTTTCCCATTTTGTAATATTATCGTTATTAATTATTTTTATATCTCCATAACATGTAGACCTATTTTTAGAATCAAAATAAGTACCAGAAGAAATATTATTAACATTAATAAACACACAATTAGTAAAATATATATTTTTTATTTGTGTTCCACTACCAAATTCTAATTTAGCATTTGTATCGGTGGTATCAGTTTTAAATGTACAACAATCAAAGGTAGTTGAAATATTATCCTCTTGTGCAGAAGCTAATTGAATATTTTTTGTATAAACAGTAATTGTACTTTGCTTAATTTTATATCCACCTTTATTCCAAGCTGTAATTCTTGAACAAATACCTAGACTACAATTTTCAAGTTCAAGTTCATCAACATCACCACGAAATAATGAAATATATGAATAACCTGTAATATTTGCCATTTTTCTATTATTTATTTCACAATTAACAAATCTTATATTAGAATATGAACATAAGTATGGGGTTTCAGCAATTTGAAATTTTGTTTGGTCAATATATTGCTCAATAGTACAATTATTAAATATAGGCTTATGATAAGTATTTCCAATATCAATAGATTGCGTTAAATATCCACATGTTATAAAACAGTTATTAAATTCTAATGAAGCACTAGTAACGCCAAATAAAATAAATGAATAACCATTACCACGAAAATCTAAATTGTTAATTATGCATTTTGCATTTTTATCAGTAGCAATTTCTCTTGAAGTATAACAATGTATTTGGTCTCCCCATGATGGTTCTGCACATGTAGCAACTGCTTCAACCAAACAATCACTAATAATATCAAGACTATCAGCTTCATTATATAAAAAGTGATAATAAACGCTTTGACAGTCACCACTCATTTTAGCAATGCATCCATTTAATCTTAAATAACATTGTCTTGTATAACAAAAAATATCACAATTATCACAAATACAATTTATAATAAATACATTTGATTCATAACAATTAAACATTGAAACGTTATTTCCAATACAATCAACAGCATACAAATCAGCATTATGAGCATAACATAAATACACATTAGAAGAAATACCAATGTTTTTTCCATTGGCTTTATTTATTGCTGGTATAAATTTTCTTTCAGATTCAATAGAAATATCATTTAATGAGCAATGTATTCTTTGACCACTTGTCCCCATAAATCTAAAAGCAATATTATATTCTTGACTAGATGTTAAATTTTCTTTTGCGTCCATTATTATTTTCATAGAATTAATAGAAACATTTCCTCTATATCTAATTGTATTCGTAAGCCTATAAGTTTTTTTATTACCAAAAACAACAATATTTTCATTAGAATCCGCCATGCGTTGAAAAGCTATAGTGTCATCAGTTTCCCCATCGCCAACAGCACCAAACATTTCTGGCGTTACATATGGAATAGGTGTTGGACTACCACCAGTTGCAGAAATAACATTATTTTCTATGGTTATACCATTTCCGGCTGTATAATTTGGAATATCATCAATCATTGCAACAGTTTTATAATCACTTTCTGCAACATTTCCAGTAGCATTAGTTCCAAATTGAAGTTTTCCACCTTCTTTGTCTCTTACACCAAAAAACCTTAAAATAGCACTATTTCTAGCTCCATTACCATTAGCATCAGAATATGTTTTATGGAAAAAGCCAGCAGAGCCATCACTATTTATGGCAAAGCAAGCTCCAACATAAGGAGTTCCAGAAACTATTCCGTTATAAGAACTAACATTTCTTTGGTGCAAATAAGCATTGTTTACATTAGTAGAGCAACTTCCTACAGTTACTTTTCCAGAAAGTTTGTTTTCTCCAGAATATGATTTATCAAGATAATTAGATGAAATATAAAGACTTTTTGTTGTATTATCTACCGTTATATCAGCTATTTTTTCACCAGAGTTTCTACTTGGCGTTACTGTAACGACTGAACCCTTTTCAGCAGTAGATATAGCATCATTAACAAATTCTGTTGTTGCAATTTGTGTTGTTGATGTTCCTTTTTCAGCAGTAGGAGCGGTTGGCGTTCCAGTTAAAGCTGGACTCTCAACATCAGCTTTCTTACTATCCATTTTACGAATAGTATATCCAAGCCCATTGAGGTCTAAATATTTTTTTTCTGCCATATTTCCTCCTTAGTCTAATTAAGTAAATAGACTATCTATTTCATTATTTGTTATTGCGGCAAATGTATCAGAACCACCATCTTCTAATGCTTTAATTCTACCTTTAATACTTCCATCGGTAGTATCGGAACCTATTTCTGTTTCCAAGTCTGTGATTCTCTTGGCCGCATCAAAGCTTTCGCTTCCTTCTCCTTGAATCCAGTCTGCGATTTCCTTTAGAGTGTCAAAAGCTTCAGGCGCATCACCAATAACTTTAGCAACGGCTTCATTAGCTTCTTCTGCTACTGTTTTAAAACTACCATCATCTTTTGTAGCATGAGTTGCGTCTAATTTGCTAACAGACTGTTCTCTTAAAGTTTTCTCTGCGGCGATAGCAGCTGCAACAGTTGCAACACCTTCGCCAAGCGAGCCAATCTTTCCATCTACATAATCTTTTGAAGCTTTATTTCCATCTTCAATAATCTTCTTAATTTTTTCATCATAATGGGAAAGACCAGTTAAATCCAAATATTTTTTATCTGCCATTTTTATTCTTTTCCCTCCTCTATAAATAAAGTGTCAATAGAATAATTTTCTATTGATTTAATTGAATCATATTGTTCATCAATATATATTTTTAAATCATCAATAGCATTTGTATTATTCTCTACTTTTACTTCTAATTCGCCAAGAATTTTACGCAAATCTTCGGTACTTCCAGAGTCTATATATTGTTTAATTAATGTATCATATTCTTTTAAGCCTTCAAGGTCAAGAAATTGCTTATATTCATCCATTATTATCATCCCCCTTATCAGAGAACAATGAATAAATTTGTTCTTTTGTGATACTTTCGATATCTCTTTCATCGACCAAGGCCGCAATCTCTTCTTTATCTTCTTCTGTGAGAATATAATCTTCTCCTTTTGGACCAGACGCTTGAAGTTTAACATTAATATTAGCAGGAGGATTTATTTTAGCATTAATATTTGCTGTAGATACCATTTCTACATAAATTATAGCAGGAGGAGTAACTTGTCCACAAATATTTCCAGGAGGGTCAATGCGACCACAGAGTTCACCAGGAGGAGTAATTCTTCCTTTAATATCAGCCATAAGTCACCTCTGGAATTAAAATAAAAGAAGAACAAGGAATAATGGTTTTTACATCTCCATTAGCAAAAGTAATTTGAATATCATATTTATATTCTCCTGGAGCTAATTTAGAAGTATGATTTGGCTCAATTTTAATATTTGCTTTACCATTTACATATTCAGTAGCCGTAATATGAATAAGCTTTACAGCGTCTGTTGGCTTTTTTCTAACAGTAAGTTCAACTTTATCTTCTTCTTGAAGTTTATAATTTGAACAAGTAACTAAAAGATATTCAGTATCTCCTCTCACCATAGAGATTTTTGTATCTTCAACTTTCATTTTTTTTAGTATCTCCTTTCCTCTTTTTTAGAAAAAGGGGCCATTTAAGACCCCTTTAATTTATTGTTTAATAAAATATAGCTTTATCTCCTTTATTGATTAATTTGATATATGATTTTTGAACCAATAAGAATCGTATGCTCAGAATCTGTATTTAATGATAATTCCAGTTTTCCATTACTATCTACTTTGAATAATTTATTATCATTGCTAACAGTGTAGGTGTCTATTAATTGATTTGAGCTATCATAAGATTTAATCTCATTAAGCCTAATAGTCATATTAGTACCAACATTATAACTTGCATGTTCCCAATTTGGTAAAAGCATTTTAACTTCTTCAATAGTTTTAGGTTCATTATTCTCTCCAAATATTCTTGTTAAATCAAAGATTCTAGGTTTTACAATAACATTGTTAAGAACCTGTCCATTTTCTACTCTAATTGTGTACATAATATTAGGTGATGTGGTACTTGAAGCATACGGTTCATAAATATAATCATAATCAAATCTTCCAATAGAAGCCCCATATCCATCATAATAAGCAACACCATTATGTCCTAACATTGCATACTTATGCGTTGTATCCATATAATTTCTAACATAGCCTGAAACTTGCAAATCAAGCCTTGCTGTTGCACCTGTCGAACCTGTATTAAGTATTACATATCCATTTCCAATCTCATATTCTACTCCATTCTTTGTGCCTTTCTGACCAATAAAGGTATCATGAATAATAAACATCTGATTCCATTGAACATCCATTGTGTCGTAAGAATCTAATATTGCATATTGTGCGACTGAATCTGGAACAATCTTCTCAAAGTTTTTGTGGAATCAATGCTATATGATATACCTCTATTTGCAATCTCCAAATCTAATAGGCTTCTTGTTTCTGTTGATACTTGAGATTCAATAGTTTCAATTCTATTTCTCCATTGATAAGTCATACCGTTTGATGTATCAAGCTTTAAAAAGTGACCTCTTTTGTCAATTATAAATTTGAATACTTCATAAGCGTCAATTTTTACATATTTTCTTCCACTATAATCTGATACTCCAGCAGGAAAATTTAGAGTAATAATTTTATCATATTGATTAATTATTGTTGTTTCCAACATTCTTGGATAAATTCCATTCATATTAATAATGTCAGCAGAAGCTCCAATATAATAAGTATTGTAAGCCCTATCTCCACCACCCATATTATAAACAGGGTCAAATATTTCCGTTGTAAGTACTCTGCGTTGATACCACTGCTTTAATAATGGGAATTCGTTACTATGTTCTCTTGAACCTGTTACTCCAACTCTAGGAAGCCATGTTCCTGTTATTGTAGATATAGAAATATTTACTTCTATTTCTCCTGTACAATTAGTAAATAACAAAAAGTTTTGAGTATCATCATTTGAATAAATTGTGATATTGTTAAAACTCATGCTTCCTAGCGAATTGTTGCTATTAGTTGCATTTATTACATTATCATAAAACTCATTATAATCTTCTTGAGGTAATAAACATGGATTTATAACAAGCATATTTTCAACAACTAACTCATAAGAATTAACAGGATGGTTAATAATATCTATAATTGCTGTTCTGTTATTTCTGAATATTGGTGAAATAACTCTTACAATTCCACTTCCAGTTGTAGGCTGTGACACCAAAAATTTATTCCCATCAAATATACAATTTACAATATCAATACTAGGATTATTAATAAGTCCTGCTAAAGATAATCCGCCTGAAACATTACCTTCAAAATAACAACCCTGAATAATAATATTGTCTGTAATATCTGTTTCATAATTAGGTTCAATATCAATTCCAAATTGTGGGTCTGTTCCATTAGTATTAATAAATTTACTATTCTTGATTGTCAAATTTTTTGCACAAGATATGCTGAGACCTTGTCTACGGTTATTGTCACAAATAACATTATCAATAACAATATCACTAGGAATTTCTGCCCCTGAGCTTGTGAGAATATTAATTCCATCACCCCAACAGTCTTTGATGTACATATCTTTAATAGTTACATTAGAGGCATTTCTTATTTCAATTCCATATCCCCATTCTCCACCTTCTGAAAGATGTTCATCTCTCTCTCCATGGATTTGACCACCTGAAATAATAATATTTTTACTTCCTTGTTGAATTGTAAATACTGAGTAATGGTCATTACTTGTAGGCTTAACTTTATATATTGTTGTGGTATCATTTTCTATTGTTAAACCATCTATACCAAATAATTTCAGCCTCTTTTCAGCATCTATTAGATAAGTATTAGCTTTTACTACTAGTTTGAGTTTGTTTTCAGATGCAAAATTTATAGCATCTTGAAAAGCATCAGTATCATCGTGTTCTCCGTCACCAATAGCACCAAACATTTCAGGCGTAACATATGTTTTTAGCTCATTTAAATCTGTCGTTATATTTTCTATATTATCTTCAATTTCATTTAAATCTTGTGCATATAACACTTGACCATCAACGAAATTGTGTTTTTCATAATCCATTATATATCTACCTCCTTTAAAAAATTCTATCAATATACATAAAAAAAAGAGGGATTTATTTAACCCCTCTTGTCCTTTCTAAGTTTCTTATATAATTCATCCTTTGCATCAAAATATTCTCGTAATTCTGCCTTTTTACCCTTAATCATCTTCTGTACTGCGGCCAGGTCACTCTGATGCATATACATGTGTCGCCTAATTCTTCTTGCCTCTAAACTATGTTCGTCATAATTCTTATTTTTAATCAATGAAAAATGCAAATTTCTAATAGCATTATAAGTTGGAATCAACTCATTATCTCTAACATGACAAAGATAATTAATTTCTGCGCGAATCAACGCAATAGTTTCTCCAGTCTTACGATTCATCATGTCTCGGTCATCTGGCGCGCATACCGCCTCGCCGCAGAATTCCATATCCTTATAAAAAATAGTCGCAATTGTTACTCCTGTTTCCTCATTATATACAAACTCTGGTTCTCTCATATTAACTCCTTTTGGATTTTTTTCTTTTCTTTATTATACCACTTTTTTTATTTTAACCCAAATTTGGTCAAAAAATTCTGAAGTGCTATTTTGGTTCCAGTTACGAGCTAAAGGGAAGACTCGCTTCCCTTTTTTGTCACTCGATAATGCTTAATTCAACGCCATCAAAATAAAAAATGCAATTAGTCAAAATATCATTTTCATTTATTATATCAGCATCGTTATTAATTGACTTTACCATATCAATCAATTCTTCAGCTTCAATATTATCATTAACACAGACAACTACAAAATCATGAATCGAACTAGGGAGAATGTAGAACTCGCCAATATCTTCATAAAGTGAACACAAATATCCGTAATCCGTCATAATACCTGCGCCATAAGGCCAATTATTATCATATTCAACTGATGTCATAATACCAAAATAATTTTGCTTTTTTGCATAAGTGGCTACATTATTTTCAGCTTCTTCGCAAATATCAATCAAACTCAAGCCAAGAGCATCTGCTAATGATTGTGTTAAAATTGTTGTACTAACTTCATCTTCATTTGCATCAACAATAATTCTATAATAGCGCTCTAAACCCAAAAAATCAGAAATAATAGCATCATCATGAAATACTCCAGAAGGTCGCAAACAAGGAATAATAATTCTCCTATTTCTTATGATATCAATAATATTTGCGGCATCGGGCATATCTCTCTTTTCAGAAAAGTATTCAACAATGTAATTTGCGGCCTGGCGCTCAGTGGAGAACTGTTCTAGGTCTTCTGTGTAAAAGACTGGACGAATTGCATCATCCTTACTATGACTAACAATCAAACAATCCTTATTCTTCTGAAAACTCTTTTCCGCAACATATCCCTTATCACTTAAAATTTCAATAACTTCATCAATTCTCATTTATTTTCTCCTCAATCTCTTCAATAATCTCATCTAATAGTTTTGGGTAATTTCCGTGACAATCTAATTCACAATGATATATAGCTCCTTTATCCCAATCTTGCCACTTATCTTGACTATGACAATGACCGCATAAATTTACCACTCTTTGATTAAGAGGCTTGTCCGCATCATAATTACCAACAAGTGCTGGATAATGAGAAAGATAAAAATTCATTCCTTTATATTTGAATGGCATTGCATATCCCATTACATCTACTCTTGGACAATTCTCGCTAATAGCTTGAATCTTGTTATCACTATCATGATTTCCTCTTATAAGAATAATATTGCCATTAAGACGATTGATTAATCTACATCCTTTCTCATGGTCTGCTGTCATATAAATGTCACCAAGATGAATTACTGTATCATTAGCCGTAACTACTTCATTCCAATTCTTAATAATTGCTTCATCGTGTTCTTCAATTGAACTAAACCCTCTTGGTTCATATAAAAACTGACGATTATGCATCCAATGTGTATCGCTTACTATCCAAATCTTCCCCATTTATTCCTCTTTCTCTTTCTACATTTAAAACAAAATTAATTCCTTCTTCTTCTACTACCGCAGGTTTGAACCCATTACACATATTTCTAATTACATCTTCTGGAACATTTGCTCTACCAGTTCTTTGAGCATTTTGCGCAATGCAAATATCTTCTGGAACAAGAAAATTAACTGCTACAACATGACACTCTTTTGTTTCAATTCTATTTAAAAGTTTTCTTCTTGAGCCAAGAGTAAGATGAGTAGCATCAATATAAATATGCTCATAACGAGGATTGTAAATAGCCTCATTAATTTGCTTTACAAACATATCAAAAACTTTATTTTCTTTAGAAAAATATTCATCATTTTCATCCAAAAGAGAAAATCTAATTACATCTCTTGAATAATAATAGAACGAGATGGTTCATTTAATGCGGCCAAGACCGCATCATCATATTTAATATCGTTTGCGGCCCAGGTAGACTTTCCGCATCCAGCGGGACCGCATAATAAATATAAGCATTTATTCATTAACCATTCTCCTTAATATATTCAAGCGAAGCCAAAGCTTCTTCTTTATATAATCCTTTTTCAAAATTTTCTTTAAAAGTTAATTTATCACTATAATCTCTACATTCAACCATATTTACTGTGTTGCGGCAAAATGGACAAAATAATTTCTTTCTATGAAACTTCTCTCTTTGATTTGACACTCGTCTTGCGAGCGGCATACCCTGGCCGCAGTATAAGCAAAAGAATGTATGCATTTCTGTCTTACTCGTTCTCTTGCCCATTATCATACCCCTCAAAAAAATCTCTTAAAATTTCTTCAATTTCCTCTTTTGAGGCATCTTCTGGAATATCAAGTTTAATAATAAAATTGCCAATACTTAGACAAATTCTCCAACCGAGAACAAAACCTACAATAAGCCAGATTATACCAAAAATAATAATCTTTGTAGTAATCATTTTGAGTTCCTCCAACTTTCTTTAATAAGTTCAACATCATCATAACAATCTAAAAAACTATCATGATAATCTGTTGCGGGCTGAAGTTTACATCTAGGGAACTTGCAAATTAATCTTATCTTTCCCTCGTCATTAGTTTCCTCTGTATAAGGACGACCACAATAAAAACATTTCATCTAATAACACCTTCTTTCTTAACTTTCATATATATATTATAACATATTTTTTAAATTTTGTCAATAGTAAAAAATTGGAAGGCGTTAACCTCCCAACTTCCTAACTCTTCTCTGAAGCTTCTTAATGATGCGGCCATTGTCCTTGCCTCTTGCTGCAAGAATTGCCATTCTGTTCTTTAAAAGTTCAACGTTCATATACATTCTCCTTTTTCAAAATTATCAATTACTGAATTAATTGCTTCCTCTTCTGTTAAGCAATATTTATCCATACTACGGCGCACACTGGCCGCAATATCCCAAGCATCATTTTCAGAATAATTATAATTATTTAAAATATATTCTGCTGTACAAAGAATTTCATAGGCATCATGAATCTGACGAACTAAGTCTATTGCTATTGGAGCATCATCCAAAAGAATAGAGAAGTTAGAAGGGTTTGCGGAAATTCGTGATGTATATTTAATCATGCGGCCAGTGCCTCCTCTTTTTTATTTGGTTCTCCGTATGAGAATCGAACTCATATAACCACGATTAATGGAGCTGGGCCTTGGTACTGCCCCAAGCTAGACTTTTTACCCAACAAGTCGTGTGCATTGCCATTATGCTAACGGAGAATATTTTTTATTGACTATCAGTTAAAAACAGGACGAACCGCGTGAAGGTTGTCAATATCTCGTCCCTGCGGCCAGAGGGACTCGAACCCTCATGATTATAAATCCATGGATTTTAATGGTACTCAGCCCAAGTTCTGCCCTTGGCTCGCTTATGCGGTCTATTAACCGAGTGTCCATTGCGTCTACCATTCCGCCATGGCCGCCTATTTAAAACGACTTGAAATAGGAAGAAGTTGGAGTTACCCTTCGCTCTCTGACTCTTCAAGGCTTGTCGTTATAACCTTTTAGATTTTTTCTATTTCATTTTTATGTATATATTATATCATAAATTTTTTAAAAAATCAAATTTTAATACCACTCCCAGTATTCAATCTTATCATTTTTGCAAACATCAGATAGCAAATCTTCAATATCAACAATAGCCTTCTCGATATCATTAAAATACCAATCATCATATTCATATGAACCAAAGAAAAAACCATGCTGAACTGGCATTATTTCCTCAGCAAGAGAGTGGTCTGCGGCGACAGCCTTCAAGTCCGCAAGAAAATCCTCAAGAACTGTAATAGAAAGGGTTGTTTCACCTTCATCTTCAAAATTTGCAAGTCGAGAAAACCAGCCTCTAAACTGATTACATTTTCTCCAATCAATGCGATATTCGTTATTTACTCTGATTCCGTGGTCAAGTCCCATTTTAATATCTCCTTAACTTTACATCTTAGTTCTAATAAAATGATAATCATTATTACCAATTTCATAATCATCATATCTGCCATCTTCTTCGCGTCTAAACGAAACTGTATCATATGTATCATCCCAATACATTTTATCAGTATGCCAGTTCCAATGTTCAAGGTCATAAATCATACCAACTACTGTCTTAGTATTAAGTTCCCAAGGCTTATAAGTTCCTTCTGGTAACTCATACACAAATTCATCATAAGAAAATGGAATAAACCAAAGAATATAATCAGTCAACTTGGTAGTAATATACTGCTTACCATTTCCAAGGTCATCATAAAAATGCCACTCAAATTCTTCTGCTACAGGGATAGGCCAATCTGCGCCCCAGATATCTCCTCCTTTACCCTTACCCTCTTCATGATGTTTGGCTCTAAGAACCAGAGGGTCGTAAAACTTTTGTCTCTTTCTTTTCAAATGAAGCTGTTTAAAAAAATTAAGCATTTTTCCTCCTTATAAAGTATTATAAAAATCTTCAAGTTACTCCGTAATAATTATAAACTTACCCCAAATTCCAAGGTCATATACATGATAACCATTCTCTGTATAATGACGCATACCCTCCATTGGAATTCGATTCTTAATTGCATAGTCCACGGCCGCAGAACTAGCTTCGCCAGTTGATTTACAACTCTTAATTTTCTTTCTTTTGGATTTATCATCTTTTTGATAATATACACCTATCATTCTTATTCACTTCCTTTCTTTTACATATATATTATACTATATTTTTTTAAATTTTTCAAACAAAAAGAAAAGGGGAGATTAATTTCTCCCCTTATTTTGCTTTTATTAAATATAACATTCTACCTTGTGTATCACCATTAAATCTATAACTGGAAATTTGTGTTGAATATGCTCCGCTATAATTTGGTAGTATACACTTTTTTCTATCTGCAATGCCTGTGTTAAGATAACAAATTTCAAAATTTGCCATTGGACTAGCATAATCAATAACTGCTTGAGTACTATGCTGGATAGACATTATTAAATCATAAGTGTCTATTGGATTTGGAGTTTTAAAACTAGCACTTCTACCCCATGGTTTCCCATTTGCTTCGTTAAATATCTCAGTAAACTCTAATTCATATTTATTTATACCTAATTCAATTTTATTTATTCTAGCACGACTGGTTGAGAAACTTATAATATTAATCGATTGAGATGTAATATTATTAATAAACATATAAAAATCAGAACCATTTATTTCGCCTGCGCAATATAAACACATATATCCATAATTTTTAAATATTGTATCCATAAGAGCGAATGGAAAATAATATTCACGAGTATACCAGTTATTATCACTATCTGTTATAAAAATTTTAATCCAATCAGGGTTTTTAACATCATTTGGAAAAGACAATGTACCAGGCCAGTTTCTTGATTGGCTTTCGTACACCGTTGTCCATTCAACGCTGTTTGAAAATGAAAATTTACCTTTAGCTCGTTCGTTAGCATTTTGAATGTTAATTCCATAAATATAATCATTACCCTTGGCACCAGTGTTATATATGTCATTACCGTTATAATTATATAAGAACATAGTTGTACCAGTTTGGCTAGAAAATGTTCCTAAACTAGGGTCCATTGGCATAAAATCTATATATTTATCATCACCAGAACTAATTGTAGCAATATAATCATAGGCTTTGATATCCTCTGAGAATACACGCTCTTTTTCATCATCCACAACGCCAGGAGCTTTAGAATTTATAATAGGATTAGAAACCGTCATAGTGTAACCATTATTAAGATAGCCACCTTCAACTTTTACAATTCTACAATCTATACTACTGTGGACAGTAAGTGATAAATCATTAATATTTCCAAATTTAACTTGTTTAAATGGAAAAGCTTTTGTAGAAAGCAAAGATAGACCAAAAACTGAAGAATCATAAAATTTTTCAACTATCACTTTTGGAACAATTCTTCTTACAGGTTGTGTCATTTGCCACTCTGTTTGCTCAAGCCAAAAAGCTAAAAAATCAAAATCTAATGGAGATTGAGAAAATTCAATTACGTGACCACCGCTGGCCGCACCTTCAAAAATTGTCTCCCAAGTAATATTTTCATCAAAATTAAAATTTCTAACACTCCAACCATCGCCACCAGCTTTAATATTTTTAATTAATTCTGGCATTTCTGTTGTTTTTATCTGTGATGGAGCTTCTGAATTTTTCTCTCTTATTGCATTTCCAATTTCTTGTAAATCGGAAATTTTCATAAGTCTATATTCGTCATTATTAGGCATAGTTACCTCCTTTCTTAATCAGTAGTCTTTACATACTTAACAATGATATTTAATTCCTTCAAATAATTATTTTTATCAAACCCTGTTCCAAATGATAATTTAAGTTTATTGTTAGACTGTACATTAAACGATATGTTATAAGCAATGTTCTGTACATTAACAAGTGGTAAAATAATAGTTGTGTTTACATTATTTTTAGCTGAAATAATCAATTCAGGAATAATATCAATATCAGTTAAACCTATATCAATTTCTGTTGTTGTATACCAAGTACCATTTAAGACTATTGTTTTTTCATAAACAGGTCTACCATCAATCCAAGTGCTAACAATTTGTTCTTCAGCTGAATATTTTTCACCGCCATAACCTAATCCATATTTAATTCCATAAATCTGATATACAGAAAAACGAGAAGACGAATTTTCGCCAGCGCTACATATACATTTAATATGTGTATTATCAATATATTGGAATGAGCAATATCTTGTTGAGTAACCAAATATTTCATATACATCGCCTTTTGAGAAAATATCTACAGGCGTACTATATACGGATGTTGGTTTAGACTCTATGCTATGGTTGTATTGAATAGTACAGAGAAAAACAAGAGCATCATACTCACTAATGTCTGATACATCAAAAACATCATTTGCGTCTGGTAAAGAATCAAGAGTTGCAGCGTCAAAAATCTTAGTGAGAGTATATCCATCACTTCCTACAATAGCAGGAATAGGGATAACTTCACCTGTAGAAATTTTCTTAGCTTTAACAGCTTCAAAATTAACTTCAATCATACTTATCTCCTTCCTTAATCTGTTGTCTTAGTATACTCAAGAATGAATGTTGCTCTTTTTGCATATGCAGATGAACTGTAATCACTACCAAAGTATAGAGATAATGCACTTCTGGTAAAATTACAAGTGCAAGTTGAACCCATATACTGCGGATGCACATAAGGTAATCTTTCATGAGAATCATTTTCTCTTACTATTTCACAGTTACATAATATAGTAGAATCTACATTCCAGTCTATTACATTTGCAACACTGCAACTTCTATAATAAGTTCCTTCGCAAATTACTACCCTTCTATATATTGGTTTACCATCAATCCATGTGCCAACTACAGTTTCTTCAGTAGAATAAGTATTACTAGCCTTCACAATATCAGGAATATCAGATTCTTCAAGCAACTTCTTAGTAGTTCTATCATCCTTGATTTCAAGTGTAGATATATCCTCAAAGAATTCTTTGTCATAGTAGTTTTCTTCAAGATACTCTTTGGTTACATCACCATCACCCTTGACTAGCTTTTTTATTCCATCAGTTAAAGATAAGTTTTCACCAATCTGGGAGTTAACATAGTTCTGCAAAGAGAGAAGCCTCTCTTTAGTTGACATTTCGTTTTCAGCCATTTTTTTACTCCTCTCTTATATAAAAATTAGAAATTACAACACCACCAGACTTTGACGAATCGGCGCTTTCAATTTCTACAACTAATTTTACTGGTTTTGCTGGTGCTTTTATACTAAACAAACGAATATCTGCTTTTGTTCCATTGTGCTTTGCATATAATGTTGTTTCAGATTGATAACTAATATCTATCTCAAATGTTGCAGGACACATCTCAGGCGTTATTTTTTGAATATAATAAATATTATCTCCATCCCAATTAGTACGAATGTTAAATGATAAATATGTCTTAGTGTCAGTAATTGTAGAAATTATTTTTCCGTCTACTTTAGAACCATGCGGACCAAGTGTAACATCATTTATATCACTAATAACATCACCGTATGGTGGTCTTAA